AACACTTAGTAACTAAACCTAACATTGAAAATGGATTGGAGTAAAAGAATGCAATTAAGTTCGAAAATGTAGTGAAGTAAAAGTGAAAGTTCTTAAAAAAAAATGTATACTCTTGGAAAGTATAAAGTACTCCAAAATATACTAAAGTACAGTAGTGAAGTATTTTTACTTCGTTACTATACAACGCTGCCCAGGACTGTGTAAAATCTGGGGCATATTCTACCTGAGAGAAGATTAGAAATAGGCGAAAAATGGTAAATGCAACATTTTCTCCTAAATCACTCGTGAGAACAATTTAAGAATACATTCGTTCTTGTGAACCCTTATTGAATGAGGCCATTTATTTCCTATCCTATCCTATCTGAAAATGGCAAGAGTTTGGTACAACCTTTCAAGGCTTGAAAGTTACCCTAAAACAGCCAGCTTGCAGAAACAAGCATTTATCAGAGGAGAAGCTAAGATTCACTGTGCTAACTCAGGAGGAGCTCCAGTGTCCATTGTCACATTCATATCCCTGACATTGACAGGACAGCCATTTGTTGTACACCCCAAAAGTCTGGTTTATGGAAAAGTGGCGAGACAAAAAGCCATTGTTAAAAGTTTAATTTAGTTTGCAGCAAGCTACCGAGGTGACAAACAGCGTATGGAAGAAGTGACCATACAGCAGTGGTCCATGCAGCGATGCTGCATAATGCTTTGGGTACCTCTGTTTGGAAGTGACAGCAAAGCTGATCCGATTTGATGGAGATGGATAAAGCCAAATACCAGGTGGACCTTGAAAAAATAAGTATTTTTTTGAGTTCTTCACAACAAATTGTCTATAACAATCATGTCTTTTTTTTTTACTAAACTATTACACAGCCTGTCTATGTTTTTTTGTTGTGAAGCATAATAATAAAATATAGACATGTGAAGTTTTAAATGTGGGAGTGTTTAAGGAATATGAATGCTTGCTATATACCGATATATCATGGTCGTTGTTGAGCCTTATCAGGGCCAAGATTATGGCTTTGATGAATTTTGACTTTTACCTGCATCCACCCTATAAGCATATATTACTTTCCTGTACTCCCCGGGGAACCCAGCTGAAATGCTGATGTATCAGATTAGTGGATGGAAGTCTAGATCGTTGAATGTCATATTTGCATACACAACACTGACTTTTTGTCTTTGGACAATGCAAGATGGCAGCAACAGAGACTTTGCAGCTGAGTAAAATGGCTAATGTGAAAGATAATTTATAATGAAATGACCAAACAAAATGCCACAACTGCCACATTTACACCCATTGAAAGGACTTCAGCAGCGTAGGAGAGGTTATATAAAGAGTAACACTCATGCTTTGCATTATGAATGTCATGTCCTAATTTGTAAAACAGAGGAAAAGTTGATTTATTTGTTATATAAATCCTAGACCTTAAAAAACTCTTGTTGAAATCTCTGACTTATGAGTCTTGGATTAGAATTTACCATTGTGTTACTGATTCTGCCTAATTTTAGCCATAAGAAATGTCAAACCTATTTGTTATAAAGAAAACATATATGACACCAAAAATAAGCTATTTTTATTAAATATCAACATGAAATGTGTGCTCTTGGGAAACACTATAGCAAAAATAACCAAGAAATAGACGTGGGATCCACATTAAGTAACCCAAATACAAAAAACTTCTTCTTTCATATAGTCCAAATGTTTCTATGATGACAGAGTGTTGCTTACTTTAGCCTAGCATATGCTGATTTCCACAAATACTGTTATGCCAGTTTGACAGTATTTATCACCGCTGCTAAAATGCTGTAAATTTACTTCATCACATTAACTTTAATGTTGCTGGAAGCACATAAACTGAACCGTGCTGCTCATCAGCAGCATTAGTGGCACCAGCTGCTCTCTTCCTTACATCGTTCAGCTCCCAGTCTGTCTAAGAAAAATGAGAGCTTTCTTAGAATGAGCCTTCAGTATTTAGCTTAATTATTTAAAACACCAAGTAATGCTTTCAGATGTATGCTTTAGACTCTGACAAAACACCTGGGAGAGTTGGCAAACCTAAGCAGGTGACACAAAAACTATAGGAAACAGTAATTCTACAACCTCTTTTTTTCAATTGGAAATATTGTGGTGTTTACAGTAAAAATGACATTTATCATGTTAAGGCAGTGGACGAAAATTATTTTTCTGCTGTTGATCTGGTGTTTTGTACAGAGAGCAAGCCCTGGCATGAACAAACTCAACCTCTAACATTATTGTAAGGAACCACGTAACCAACACACTCCCATCAAATCAAACTTCTGTTAAACCAAACTGTCCACTTAGGAAGCAACACTGATTGACAATCAATTTCACATGCTGTTGTGCAAATGAAATATACAGCAGGTGAAAATTATTGGCAATTAGGGAGACGCACTCAATAAGGGAGTGGTTTGGCAGGAAGGGACCACAGACCACTTCTCAGTATCTATACTTTCTGCCTGATGTTTTGGTCACTTTTGAATGCTAGTGGTGCTTTCACAGTTGTCTTAGCATGAGAAGGACTCTACAGCTCACACAGAAGGCTCAGGTCTTGCAGCTCATCCAGGATTGGCAAGAAAGTTTGGAGTGTCTGTCAGCGAAGTGTCCCTAGGCTGGAGACGCTACCGAGACACAGGCTAGTACACCAGGAGATGTGGAAGAGGTGGTAGGAGGGCAGCAACCCAACAGCAGGACTGCTACTTTCGCCTTTGGAAAAGGAGGAACAGGAGGGGCACTGCCAAGGAGTGCAAAATGACTTCCAGCAGGCCACAAACGTGCATGTGTCTGCACAGATGACTAGAAACCAACTCCATGTGGATGGTATGAAGATTTGAAGTCCACAGATGGGTGTCGTGCTCACAGCCCAACACCATGCAGGATGCTTGGCATTAGCCAGAGAACACCAGTAGTGGCAAATTCTCCATTCGGCGTCCTATGCTCTTCACAGAAGGTAGCAGATTCAGAGTGAGAACATGTGATAGATGTGACAGAGACTGCAGGCAGCATGGACAGTGATCTACTGCCTGCAGCATCCTTCCGCATGACCAATTTGGCATTGTGTCGGTAATATTGTGGGCTGGCATTTCTTTGTAGAGCCAAAAACCATCTATGTGCTCCTCAGAGGTAGCGTGACTGCCATTAGGTACCAGGATGACATCCTCAGACAACATATACTGGTGCAGTTGGCCCTGGCTTCCTCTTAATGCAGGACAATGCTAGACCTCATCTGATTGCAGTGTACCAGAAGTTCAAGAAGAAGGCATAGAAGCTATGGACTGATATGCTTGTTCCCCAGTCCTGAATCTGATTGAGCACATCTAGGATAGCATGTCTAGATCCATCCACCAACGTAATATTGCTCCACAGACTGTCCAGGAGTTGGTGGATGCTTTATTCAAGGTATGGGAGGTTAACCCTCAGTAAACCATCCGCAACCTTATCTGGAGCATGCCCAGGCAGGTAGGTAGGTCATACAGGCATGTGGAGGCCACACACAATACTGAGCCTTATTTTGACCTGTTTTTTAGGAGATTACATCAAAGGTGGAACAGCCTGTACTGAGTTGACTCCATTTTTTCAAACTTTATTTTTTAGGTTCTAAATAAGGACAAACAAATGAGAGCTAGAACGCACATACAATATATAGAGCAGTGTATTTTACGCTGCAATACTTAGACCTATACATACTTTATTGTCATTTTTGACACGTGCACAGTTTATACAAAACGAATACTGGTCTGAACCATAAAAATAAGAAGAATTAACATATAACCAACAATAGCTAACTTTTTCCTGCTATCAGGACATATATGACTAACAATTCAGATTATGATTCAGATTTTTTTGTCACGTTTCTGACCATTTTTGTTGTGTTCTTTTCTATTTCAATGAAAAATTGAAAATGTATGTTTTAAATTTAGTCTGTTGTAATTTTTTCTATTATTATTATTTTTTAAAGAAATTTTAACAGGCGATATTGCACTATAAAGAATAATAAAGATATGACAAACATTTACAATTGGGATATATTAAGGATACATAAAAGAAACTGAGCTGAAATCAAATCCAAGTCTGTTAAATAATCGAAAAACTATCCGAGATTCTGAATTGATAATTTACAGTTTAATACTTTCTGTCATTTTCCCGCCAACCTGCTTTCTTCAATAAATGTAAAATGAGCCAAGTGAATAGAATCAGAATCAGAAATACTTTAATAATCCCAGAGGGAAATTACTTTTGTTACACGCTCCAGGTACAGTTTTATATAATATATACACACATCAAACTATACAATATAATAAAGATAAAAAATAAGAATAAAAAGAGATAAAATATATACACATATAGCTCTTCTGTATATATATATGTACATATATCTATGCATATGTAGAATACCTGGGGTTATTTCTGATTTCTTTCATTTTATGTTTTTTTGGCAAAATTGTGGTTTTGGAAGCCTTTGGACTCAGCAGTCGGCCTCTGCAGATGGCCACTCACACTGACCATGGTTCTGCTGGAGGTTTCTTCCTGTTAAAAGGGAGTTTTTCCTCTCCACTGTCGCTACAAGCATGCTTAGTGTGAGGGATTGCNTGTTAAAAGGGAGTTTTTCCTCTCCACTGTCGCTACAAGCATGCTTAGTGTGAGGGATTGCCTTCGAGTCAATGAGTCGATGCAATCAACTAGTTTTCGAAAACTTTGAATCAATTTGACTGTATGATCTGGTGAACTGTAAAGTGCCTTGAGATGACATGTGTTACGAATTGGCGCGATAGAAATAAACTGAATTGAATCTAAATCTTCGTCATCAGCACCTCAACCCATCTTCTGATGGTAATACCTTTGTCAGCATCTCTTAACTAGTTATTAAAAGCAACGGGTACAGCAAAAGGGGGTTCTTTGTTGTTTTTTTTATGTCTTTTCTTCATTGTTTAGATCTAAAGGATTATTTTTTGAAGTATGCAATGTTAACCTGAGTAATGTTCAGGACTGACATTAGTAAAATAGGCTTCGGTCACAGTGTGAGCCTGCGTCCATCCTTCTCTGTCTCAGCTTTACTTCATCATTCTGGAGGGGGGGAAAAAAAGAAAAAAAGAGGAAATACATGTCTTATGTTGTGATGAATAGTTCTACCTTTCTCATCAGTCATCAGCCTCACTGTTGTTGCTTTTTCTCTTGCTTCTTTTTTCTCTTTCTCTCTCTTTTGGTCATGGCAGTAAAAGGCTGGAGGACTGGGAGGAGTCTATATTCGTCCGCCACAAAGAGCACAGCTACAGGTTGAGAGACAACGTTCATTTCCACATGTACATCAGCACCTCACCGTGTGGCGACGGGAGACTCAACTCACCATATGAAATTACAAGCGATTGTAAGATACAAGGAATTATTTTAGCCTGTCTCATTCATTTATTTCAACACCATATAAAGGATTTAAAAAAACTATTTCTTGTCTAATTTCTGTAAATGAAATACTTTTGTTTTTTAATTTGCTTTTGTATGTTTTACAAATGTGGAAACATAACCTTGGCTGCATCCTTCCTCATACTGTAACAGACTTCAGTGTGCATGAAAATAGAGAGAAAGAGAGAGAGAAGACAAAGCCATCATCGTAGAAGCCTTAAAAATATTAGACATTAAACCTCAAAACCGTTCAGCTGTGCTCGCAGAGATTATGAAATTTCAGAAGACCTTTGACCGACTGTTCAGAGCCAGAAGCAGGGGCTTAATTTTTTAGCTCCTGTCAGATCATAGCAACAGCAACATAGAAAGGGATGAAAATAAAGGGGGAAACTGCATTTTTAGTCACATAAAACGTGAGACTATTGAAGCTTGAATATAATTTCTTAAATGGACTTTTGGTTGACGAGTTTTGAAGGACAAGGATACAGTTTC